CTGTGGAAAGCGTGGTCCTGCTGCTCAGAGTGGTGTCTGATTTTAATCTTAAACTGACCACCTCCACTGCATCATCAACAGGAATGCACGTAAAGAGTGATGTGACATCCAAAGAGACCATTGTTTCATCAGTCTCCATGATGGCATCCCTCACCTTGTCCACAAAGTCCATGGTGTTCTGTATGTGGTGTTCTGAGCTGCCAACTAAAGGGATGAGTACAGACGCCAGATATTTGGAAACATTGTAAGTGACAGAGTTAATCATACTAACAATAGGTCTTAAAGGTACACCTTGTTTGTGGATTTTAGGTAAACCATACAGACTAGGTGTGGCCTCCCTTGGGTACAGTCTGTGGTACAGAATATGGTCAATAGCCTTGTTCTGCTGCAAAATGTTCAGGCAATCTATCAACTTCTTCTTGTAATTCAAAAAGCGTTCAATACAAAAACAACTGGACTATTTGTAACAGAAGACGTTTCGCTCCTCATCCGAGGAGCTTTCTCAATTCAAAGAGCAGAGAGTGAGAGATACAGGTATCTCTCACTATTATCTCACATTATCTCACTCAGCCTTATAACCTGTATCTCTCACTCTCTGCTCTTTGAATTGAGAAAGCTCCTCGGATGAGGAGCGAAACGTCTTCTGTTACAAATAAAGTCCAGTTGTTTTTGTATTGAACGCTTTTTGAATTCATCATGTCCTGGATGACTGAGAATCTTCACCAGCATATTCTTCTTGTAACCACTTCCTGGATCTCTTTTCAGAGGACCAGATTTAACTTTTTTAGATTTTTCTACCTGGATAATTGAGCATGCATCAGGATACTCTTTCTCATATGTTTTTGTTTGCTGGGGCAGCAAACAGTGCAGTTGGTCATGAAATATTTTGCAAACAGACATTTTTTAACCAATAGTTATTGTATAATTAAACATGGAAGATAAGGCTCCTATAGTAATTAACATGTCTTGAAAATCCCTGACAGCTCGTAGTACTAAAGCTAAAACAGTTGCTAAGGTTTTCCAGCTCTTACGCTCTGCATTTGACATCATCCAGTCCAATTTGTTCCATCTCAAACTGCTGCTAAATGCTGACAAATCCAAAAGGGTGTTGGTTTCAAACTGGAAGCCGGTCCCAGCAGCGTTTTACAATCAATTAAACAGCCAATAAAACATGGTCCAATACTGAAAATCCCAATTTTTTCATGGCAGTCTCACAGGTGGTTTATGTTCGTTTTCACAAAGAAAGCTCACTGAGGCAGAATGATGACTCTAAAGTGAACCCTAACCTTCCCAGTGCTCTGCAGGATGGTTGTCCTGGTCCTCCACACTCGCTCACGGCTGACGATATCTCTGGTGACATCCACCTCTGCGTCCACAAAGCTTCTCTGCTTCAGGGTTATGTCGTCATCCAGATCTGTTTTAATGGTTGATCGCTTCTTGGCCATGATCTTAGCTTTGATGGCGGCAATTTTTTCCACCGACATGGCCTCGGACAGCGATCTGAAAAATGTAGAAATAATTTAACAGAACAGTAAGTAAGTAAACTTTATTTATATAGCACTTTTCATAGATTTAATCACAAAGTGCTTTACAAACATACAAAATACAGGCTTAAAATAAAACAAAAACAATAACAGCTGATTGATAAAAACAGTAAATAAAACATGCAACTAAAAGCTTGTCTGAAAAAAAGTGTCTTAAGCTGCTTTTTAAAGGAATCAATGGAGATGGCCACACGAAGAGACAGGGGCAGGGCATTCCACAGTCAGGGGGCTACAGCTCACTGCTTTGATAAACTAATTTGTGGGCAACAGTGATGGATATAAATCAACCAGCAATTAGATTTATTTTAAATAAATACATTTTTCAAAAAGATTATTTTATCAACTGTGTCATACTCAGTTACAAAAGGGGCCAAAATTAAAAACTTTTTCCAAGCCACGGGCCAGTTTCAGTTGATACCAGACACGTTTTCTTGGTTGCAGGTTTATCAACAAGAATTTGATCGGTCTCATTTTACGTCCTCTGTTGCTCTATCCACATCAGAAATCAAAGATTACTGAAAAAAAATCATCCTTTCTACTTTTTGGTTTGTTTCAAAGTTAGCCAGCTGTCATGAGAAGTTTGCAGTAAATTATCTATCAGTTTTTTTAAGCAAAATGAGAAAAGTGAAAAATATCTTACATTTAAAATATTATATTGGGGGGCCAGATAAGATATTAACAAAAGCCAGATTTGTCCCATGGGCCTTGAGTTTGACACATGTACAGTTCTGTTCAAGAGATGTTTCCAATTTTTTAAGCGTTCTATCAAAAGTTATGAATAACATTTTTGTTGTTAGAGATACCGTAATTGCCGGCGTACAAACCACTACTTTTGTCTCACACTTTGTACTCTGCGGTTTACATGCAGGAGCGTCTTATTTATGTGTTTTCCCCATAATTTTCACAAGTTATACATTTATATTTTATTTCGACAGACTTCTTGCCGTCTCTTGGTAACTTCCTGCCACTGACTATGAGTTGCCTTTGACAGAGCTGGGAACTCATAGCTCCCAGCACTCCGTCCCTCTTGGGGGCAGGCGTTTGTGACACAGAGAGAATGCCCTCAGGTATACACATGAACGACTCCTGCTCAGGGTTTCAAATACCCTTCCATATCTCCACCCACTCTGTCATCATGTGACCAGAAGTCTAACCTGAATGACCAATGAGGTACTCTCCAGAACCATCCCCCAACACAGAGATTAAATAATGTCTTCAGATTGTTCCTGTGTCGTTACTGTATTTTGCGCTTCATGCACAGACCTGTTCATTTGTTCAGCGATAATGGAAAACGCACGGAGAATTTCTTACGATGCAGCTTTCATGTTAAAAGCGACAGATCAGCTGTTGAAGAAGGAAACACAGATGCCGCCCGTAAGCTCTGCATCAACGTGTCGAGGGTCGGGCATTGGAGATGCAAAAGCAGACAAGTCTGGTACATGTATTAATAAAAGTTTTAAAATTCTTTGTGTGACATCTTTCTGTGTACGGTAAATATGAGTTGAAATACCAGGATCTCATTTTAAACTCACATCCGAATGCATGAAACGGAGCAGGAGACAACAAATGGGAGGGGCTCTTCCCACCTCCCTTTTCAGCTTGAGAGCTCAGCGGAGGTTATCAGATTTATTTATAAAGTAGTCAGTCAGTCAAGACGATACATATTTAAATAAAAGTTAAAAAATCTTTCTGTGCACGGTGAATATACGTTTAAATACAAATATCTCATTTAAGCTTAAGCAGGGGCATTAAACGGAGCGGACGAGACAACGGGGTTGTTCCTGCTTCCTCCCTCCTGCTCATGAGCAGTTCTGATGAGAAAATGGCAGCACGACGGTTCAGTGGTTAGCACTGTTGCTTCAAAGTAAGATGGTCCTGGGTTCAATCCCCGGTTGGACCTGGGGTCTTTCTGTGTGGAGTTTGCATTTTCTTTTCGTGCTTGCGTGGGTTTTATCCAGGTACTCTTGATTTCCTCCCACAGACCAAAACCGTGCATGTTAGTCTGCCTTCAGGCTCAGGTCTCCCTTGCAAAAGAGATCTGAGATCTCAATGGGATTTGCCTGGTTGAATAAAGGTTAATAAAATCACGTCAAATTTAATTAAAAAGTACATTTAAAAACAACAGCTGTTGCCAAAAGTGTTTAAAAACAATGGCACTAATTTATTAAATATTTACCATATTTTACCAGTACTACTTGATTTCCGGTCACATGACCACGATAAGACTCCAGGGTAATATTTACCGGTATATATATCCAACAATTGTTGGGATTGTATACCTGGATTATTGAGCATGGACTTTTTTGGTGACCAATATATAATTTTTAAATAATTTCAGTTACATGGGTGTTTGGCACTGTTCTGTCCAGTGATTATGCTTAGATAGTTGTTGTGTTCATTTTAATAATAATAACAATAATAAAGTGCTATGTAAATAAATAAGATGTAATTTCACCATTTTATGTTCTCATACAATGGTGAAATTAGTTCTCTGCATTTAACCCATCTCACCTGGGATACACCCAGGTGGAGACGTGGGCAGCTATGTAGGCACCCGAGGAGCATTTGGGAAATGGGTGTCTTGCTCAGAGGCACCACGACATGTGGGAATGACTGGGGAGTGAACCTGGGACTTTCGGGTCCCGGGTCGGATGCCCTGCCTGTACCCCATCTCGGCCCCCATTTTGTAGGTTAAAAGGTTAAAGCCATGATTCAGACAGCAAATCTTCATGAAGACTTCTGACGAGCATGCAGTCTGAACATGTGTTTAAAGCGAGCAATAGTCTGTGAAACGCCATCAGGTGGCTGATTCTTGTACTACAACAAGAAAGCTGCACACTATCTGAGCTGGCTGGGCACAGTTTCTGACAATTAACAGTGGATGCCTGCGGCTAAACATGTGGAGCACCTTATACATGTACAAAATTATGATTTATCTTATATATATAATATGTGCGGCTTAGAGACAGGTGCGTTCTGTAGTTCGAGAATTAAGGTCTTTAACTTCAGCTTTTAAAAATATTGACTTTAAGGCTGATCCGATTAACAAGCTAATGGTTAAGTCCAAGCAGGGTTGAGGTGGATTGTTGCGAGCTCAAGACTCTCCTTCTACCCCTCCCTTCTTGTACCACTTAGTTGTGATCAAATCGCAGAAGCAACATTAACAAGAGAGAAACTCAGACTAGGGCTTAACGAATCGATAAAAATCGATGATTTAAAAGAGTTGGCAACGAATTTCATGATCAATTCGTTGTGTCGCGCGATTAAGCGTCTTTCACGGCGCCGTTTTGTTCACGGGCAGTACATTGGCAATGCTGGCTGACTGAATAAAGTAAAAAAAAAAAAAAACTCTGCAGCACGAGTTGAACAGAGCCAGGAGGGAGGCGGAAGCAGAGCAGAGGCGCTGTTTTCAAAGGAAATTAAATAAATTTTACAAATGACAGACGCAGAGAAAACTGTTCGACTCAAGTCCTCCAAAGCGTGGGAGCGCTTCACGAAGATAAAAACTGCGCAACATGCAGCTTTGAAAAGTGACGACATGACACGGGAGAACCACGGAGATAAACGTAAACATGTTGGGAGTCACGAGGAGGATGAAGGAGCTGAACAGCTGATACAACTCGTCATGTGTTGCAGGCGAGTCTCTACAATATTCTACATTTGTTCTGTTTCCAAGTGAAAAAACGTAACGTCAGTTTCTCTGTAGCTGAAGCTGCTGCTTGTTTGCTGATTAATGACGGTGATAGAGAACGTGTTACTTTTTATTTTATTTAATTGGTACAAGCAGTGTTTAAATGTGATTTATAAATAAATCTAACACAAAGATAATAATTTAATGATTAAGCTTCAACTTTTAATTTGCTGATAAAGTCTGAAGACAATGCATGTATGGCAGGATGAATTTCATTTAAACAGGAATTAAAGTAATTAATTACATCTACTCAAATGTGTGTAAATACGTATTTTATATGTGTGTGTGTGTGTGTTTAAATGCTCTTTGGGCTACTTATTTGCCTGAACCTAACACTGTAAGTGAAACAAGGCATTTCTTGAGTTGCTGTAAATTATGCTAGAATACATATTTACTCTCTCATTCCAGAAAACAACAACAAATGACAGCCTTCATGATGAACAGACATCATGGACATCACAGCAGCAGCTGTCTTCACTGAAAGCATCCTGAACATGATCGTCACTGACATGAGGCCTCTGTCGATGGTTGAAGACAAAGGCTTCACTACAATGATCCACACTTTTAATCTAGGTTACACTCTTCCCTCAAGGACACATTTTACAAAGTACAGTGCCTTGCTAAAGTATTCGGCCCCCTTGAACTTTTCAACCTTTTGCCACATTTCAGGCTTCAAACATAAAGATATAAAATTTTAATTCTTTGTGAAGAATCAACAACAAGTGGGACACAAACGTGAAGTAGAATGAAATTTATTGGATGTGTCAAACGTTTTTAACAAATAAAAAACTGAAAAGTGGGGCGTGCAATATTATTGGGCCCCTTTACTTTCAGTGCAGCAAACTCACTCCAGAAGTTCAGTGAGGATCTATGAATGATCCAATGTTGTCCCAAATGACTGATGATGATAATTGAATCCACCTGTGTGTAATCAAGTCTCCATATAAATGCACCTGCTCTGTGATAGTCTCAGGGCTCTGTTCAAAGCGCAGAGAGCATCATGAAGGCAGGCCCGAGATACTGTTGTGGAGAAGTTTAAAGTCATATTTGGATACAAAAAGATTTTGCAAGCTTTAAACATCCCAAGGAGCACTGTGCAAGCAATCATATTGAAATGGAAGGAGTATCAGACCACTGCAAATCTACCAAGACCCGGCCGTCCCTCTAAACTTTCATCTGGAACAAGGAGAAGACTGATCAGAGATGCAGCCAAGAGGCCCATGATCATTCTGGATGAAATGCAGAGATCTACAGCTGAGGAGGGAGAGTCTGTCCATAGGACAACAATCAGTCGTACACTGCACAAATCTGGCCTTTATGGAAGAGTGGCAAGAAGAAAGCCAGCCTGCCATTCTGAAGATGTTATCCCAGATTCTCAGTGAATCTTGTACACCCCTGGTGCCTTACTTGGCACCCCTGGTGCCTTATTTATTACTGGACCTCAAGCAGTATGGGCTCTGTTCCTCACCCTTCTTCCTTCAAACTCTTGGACCTTGATTTCCGAATGAAAGGCACACTTTAATTTCATCGGAAAAGAGGACCGAGGAACCCGACAGTTGTAGTCCATCTCCCGGATGCTTCTGAATGTGGTGGTTTTTGAAGCTGTGACTCCCGGCTCATTCCACTCTTTCTGGATCTCTGCCAGATTCTGGAATCTTCTCTGTTTGATAATCTGCTGAAGCCCACGGTCATCTCTTTTCCTGGTGCATCTTCTCCTGCCACATTTTGCCCTTCCACTAGACTTTCCATTGATATGCTTGGACACAGCACTCTGTGAACAGCCAGCCTCCTTAGCTATGAACTTTTGTGGCTTATCCATCCTACGGAGGGTATCAATGATGGTCTTCTGGACAGTTATGTCTGCAGTAATCCCCATATTGAACCGAACTGAGACAACTGAACCAAACTGAAACATTTTAATGACACCTTGGGAAACCTGTGCAGGTGAATTGAGTTTAGTAGATGATTAGTGTCACACTCAGTTTAAAACATTCATGTCCTGCAACATTTGGGCTGATTTCTCCACAGTATTCAATTTTTTTGAAATCCTGTTTTCGTGGGTTTCATGAGCTGGAAGCCCAAATTATGTAAAAATAAACAGTAAATACTTGAAATCATTTAAATTGTGGGCCCTGAATCTATCATCTATTAAAGATGAACTTTTTGAATGGAAGTTAAACAACTTTCCATGATATTCTAATTTTTTGGAAAGGGTCTGTATAGTCTTTCCAAATAATGCCACTTCACAAGAGCAAAACTATCACTTTAGATACTCTACCTGATCTGATCAGTCTGCACAATGCCTTCTTTGTGGCCCTCCAGACGAGCAGCCAGTCGCTCCTTGTCCAAACGTACTCGTTCTTCATCCTTTAGGTCAAAATGAAAAGTCAACAATACGCTTTTGTCTGCAGAATAAGAATAATTTTTTTGTCTATTGTAGTGGAATAAGTAAATCCAGATAACTGGAAATCTACTTTACTTTTGAAGCTAGGAGCTGTTTTAAGACAGCAGCAATTCATTTTATTCATAGCTGCATTTAACTAGCTGTTAGCTCATTGTCCATAACCGTGGCTGAGGTTGCAGAGGTAGTTAAAAAGCTCCGTGGCGGCAGGCCTCCGGGGGTGGATGAGATTCACCCGGATTTCCTTACGGCTCTGGATGTTGTGGGGTTGTCTTGGTTGACACACCTTTGCAACATTGCGTGGACATTGGGGGCAATGCCACTGGATTGGCAGTAGGGGTGCAGAAAAAATTGATTTATTAAATAATCTAGATTCTTAGTCCTGGCAAGTTTGAATCGATTCTAAAGCCCATAAATTGATTTTAAAATGAGTTTAAGTTGTACTTTTTTCCCCTCTCCTACACCCGAGCGTACTGCATATTGCATTACGTGTCTGCTCGGCCGCTGTAGATTTTGAACGTGTAGGCCACCGTACAAGCTAGTTAGCCAGCTCCTTCTATCTGAATAGAGTCTGCTAGCATGGAGCAGGAGAACAGCATGATTCAACCTGCTTCTTTGTCTTTAAAAATCATTTCAGATCCTATAATGTTCCGGGAGAAGAAAGAGCTTAACAAGAGCCCAGTTGTTTGCAAGGAGTGTGAAATAAAATTGCAGAACAGTATTTTGGAAATATGACAAAATGCGCGAAAGCAGCAGACCAGCGAACTCTGCCACAAACTTCCAGCTAATTCCCCAAAGGCTGTGAAGATTTCCCACTCCATCTCTTGCTATTTCACAAGGGATTTACGAGCATACAGCTAATTTGAAGTCGAGGGGTTTAGGTTTATGTTTAATATGCTGGAGCATGCTATTTCTTCACAGTTTTGTTTAGCAATAAAGCAGCGCCACAACTACACCATAAAACAAAAAATAAAGTGGGATAAGCTCTGATTAAAGCTACCAGCTGCAGCTCAAAGAGTAACTGTTTTTTCTCATATGACACTAAAACTTATCTAGACAAGTTATACAAAACACTTAATGTAACTTGTTTTTTTAACAGGTTGAGGAGGCCAGATGAGCACATCGACTGGAGCCAGTTCTAAATGATACAATTTATGGTTTATAAATTACAGTTCAGAAGAGGTTTTGTGCAAACTTGCACAGGTTTTGAAGTTTTGTTAAAGATATACCAAATATGAATCAATATGGTTACGACTGTGAAGGCTACTACTACATCTCTCGGTTTGCCTGGGATCGTCTTGGAATCCTTCAAGAAGAGCTGGAAAGAGACGTCTGTGCCTCCCTGCTCAAGCTGCTGCCCCCACAACCTGACTTTGGAACAAGCGGAAGATAATGGATGGATGGGGTAGCTCATTGGTCCTGTCAAAATGTAACTCTTGTACGCCTAAAATGAAGCTGTTAAGAGTTCTCTACAACAGATATTAAATGTTCGTAACACAGAACCCAAATTCAAAACAGCCAAACTATTTTGTAAGGTGCACATCACAGTAAGCTTATATAAGTTATACTGTTCGTACTTTGTCTGAAGAAACAGATCAACTTACTTCAACCCTAGGTTTCTTGGCTTCAGAAGACACTTCATCAGCTGCTCTTTTGACTTGGGGAAGAAATAAAAGATGAATTCATTGTGAGTGTTTCAAAAAAAAATTTAATCAACAAAATTGCACTAAAATATGGCAACAAAGCAATGAGTTGAAACTAATAAAACTGCTTTTAGCTAGAAATTTTGGTTGTAAAGAAACAAATTTAAAACAAGCTGCTACAAATTCTAAGTATAGATTGATTTGAACTTGCCTTGTGTTGGTCTTTGAAGACCGATTTCTATGGGCGCACTACGGTCAATGCTCGTCGACGTCGCTGTAAACAAGCAAACAAAAATATTGTAAAGTCTCCCTAACCTCTGCACAACCACTCGCCATTAATACCTCAATTCATAAGTATAATAAAAAAATTAATCTGTTTTTTTCATATTCATAATGATCTTTGAGAAGCTCAGAAGAAAACAATGTAGTAAAAAATAAGCAGATTTTGTAAATAAACTATCCAATTAAAAAAACTATTTCTGTATTTAACTGTTCTATTTAAGTTATTAATCAAATATTAAGTTTAATGTTGCTACATAAAGCAAAATATAAACTCAAACATGTTCTCTTGTTGACACCCCTTAAGTCTGACAACCTCCTCTGCACATAAACACACACAAAAAGGACAGAAACATCAGGGAAATGCTCAATTGTCATTCTAACATTGTCCAAATTTCTGTCTTTTGTTCTAATGAGGTTTACGGGACAATAGATCTTGTCAAAGGTTACCACAGCATAAGCTGCTTCTATCCCTGTGATGGCAGGATTAAGCCTTTAGCACAAGTTTTGCCAGTCAAAATATAAAAAACGAACAGAAAATATACTTGAATATTTTGTGACATCTTGTGTGTATTTTTTTATTACAGAAACAACATCCTAACAAGTGCTACTTACAACTCTCGCCATTGAGGTATGACAGCAAGCCCTTTCGATCCGGTCGTCTGACAACAGGGATGTTTTCTGTCTATTGACAATAAGTAATCATGTTTAATTAATGATACACTGAAGACAAATGCAAAAAAAAAAAAAAACTTATAAGTTGTATTACTCTGCAGATGATGTGAGAGAAGACTACTTACTGCAGCTCTTCGCACGTAAGATGAATGTGGCAGATGCACATTGTTGAGCAAGAATAAAATGGAGTCCAAAGTATAGTACTCCTTGGGCTGCCCCTCTTTGCCAGTACTGGTAGTAAACAAAAAGAATTGAGGAAAAAAAAAAAACAATAACCTTGAATAATAAAGATTATTTAAGCATATCGTATGATAAAAATACTACAGAGTGCTGTAGACAACAGATTTAGGTTAATCTTATTTGCAAGTCAAACGTTAGTTGTGATAAGTTTGTTGACACAAACACCACTCTCAACTTACTGACCTCCCAATAACAATAGCTGCGACTTTATTTTCTGACAGAAAAGTAAGTAGCTTCTATAACTATAAATAAATACATCCAGTGTCTTGTTAAAAAAAAAAACGTGTTCCTGCACGAATCTCTGGTTCCTATAGTTCACGAAACACAACTCGCAGCTAACTAAAGCCGCTAACAATTTAGCATCACTGTTTGTCCTTACACATTTTTACTGAAACACAAAACTGCTAAACATAGTTTTTGCTCTACGGCTCAATGCCAAGAAATCACGATAAATAGAACAGGTAAAGCATCAAGTTTAACAATTGAGAAGAGGGACTGGAGTTGTGTTAGCTTAGCGAGTAGCAGCTAATGAGCTTTGCGTTACGGAGCGCGAGCTGCAAGTCTAAAAGCAAATAAATATACACTTTATAAGAATTTTAACGCTGACATACCCCCAGATAATGTAGTTAGTCTTAACATTTTTCGGCCAAGAGAATTCTCCAAATATTACTTCATCTCCTTTGGCGATGATTTCCTTTTTTTGAATGTTATACTGACGAAGAACACTCAATACATCCGCCATCTTTACCTGCCTGGATGTAGTGTGTTTGCGAGGCCCCCATATGGCATATCAACATCATGTGGTCCCGCAAGATGCCTGAATTAAATAATAATAATAATAAAAAAATAAGTAAAAAAGTTTAAAAATAATAACAACACGGTTACCTCCAGTCCCCGAAGATTCAAAGCCCAATTTACATGGACTTTTTTATTTTTGGTAAAATTATCAGTTATTACAAATCAATTATCACCAATATTTCAACCTGATGTGTTGCTTACTAAGAAGTTACACATTGACTCATGAATCTGAAAACATTTTGAGAGCATCATAAACATTTATTAGGGATGAGATTACATTGCCACTACAGTCAAAATACATGTAGGTTTCCATTGATTGAAGCCATTAGCTTGACACTCTGAGATGTCTCCTCATCCGAGAGACAGCGATTTGCGCCCTGCTGCCTCATCCTTAACACCATAAACATTCCACGGAGTCCTTAGTGAAGTCGAACACTTTACTTCTATTGCAAAAATCAAAACTTGTACAAAATTAAAGAAAAGGAACGAGAGAGACAAAAAGGGAGATTAAAAACAAACAAAAAACTCTGTGGCTGCACCTGACTGCTGACAGCCTAATTGTCTGCCAATAAACCACAGGCAATCATCAAAACACCTAATTTTACACTGCTACTGAGAATAATATAACTCAATATCTCTAATAAAGCTTGCATTTTAATCACTTTATCATTACAAAAATAAACCAAATATCACACTTACCTTTATCATTTGAAATTAATCTCAGTGTATCACATATGAACTAAAAACTATACATTTGTTAACTATTGTAAACTGCATTTAGACTCCAACATTACCGACCCCTATTTGTTATCAAGGTACTTGAAACAATTACTCAAGAACAAAATTAAAGGAACCTATACGCCTTTAAAAACGCTCTGGTTTCCCTTACTATCACAATTTCAAAATCCACTATCTTCAGATTATCGCAGAAGACATATTTGTTATAGGACGACAAAGCTCGTTGGTTTTAGTCTTGACTTTCACCTGATGAACAAACCCTTTTGTCTGGAAAAGTCAACAACTCTTCAAGAGACTATGCATTTCTGGGTGCTGTGTTGTCCACAATCAGCAGCACATCGCCAACACACAAGTTCCTTCCAGGTGTGGACCATCGTTGACGTTCTTGTAGCTGAGTGAGGTATTCCTTACACCATTGCTTCAAAAGATGTCTGCCAGGTATTGAACTTGTAGCCATCTGCGATTAGTGTACTGGTCTTGCTTGTTAAACTTATTCCTTTGAAAGCCTTCTTGAACTGATTCGCATCGTCTTCTCTGCTTGTTTCTTTAACTTTTGATTTTAGTTCCTTTAGTTTAAGAAACCAAGCAACAGCACGCTTGAGTTTTGTCCAGGATGAGTAGTTGTTTATCAGCTGGGTCATAGAATCTTTGGGCTCTCCGGCCTCAGTGACATTGGCTTCAACCTCTCTCTTGACTTCAAGGTCATTAAAATCCAGCATTCCCAGATATGGGTTTTTGGGCCACTCATCTTGCTTACTGCTTAGGAAACTTGGTCCTGAAAGGTTAATCCCATTGAGCCTTGAGGACCCATTTACAAGAGAGACCTGATTTCAACAGAGTGTTGACAACAGCAACAATAGACAATCATAAAGGAGGCATGCAGATTTTTTTTTTTTTTTTTTACAAACTAAAATAAGATGGCAAAAAAGTAGCAAAAACACCTAGATTAGGAACATGCCTGCATTGGTTCTTGCCAGGATACTTAAAGCCACTTAAGAGAGGTCAAGAGCTTCAGATCTTTTTGTAAGAAATTCCAGGAAACAGGAGCGGAGAAGGCCTTTTTACCAAGTTCAGTCCTCACTGAGGGAACACTGCAGGTAATAACGTCCTGGGAGCGCACGCCGTAGCTGCACTCACGCAGAGACATGTAGGAGGAGATGTATGAAGGCAACAAACCAAGAAGTGATTTTAAAGATAAAAATGTACCAATGAGAGTGTCTGTGTGAAGTTAGTGATGTCCAGTTAACCAGTGAATACAGGGAGCAGTGGTGGGTATGATAATCACAGCCAGTTATGAATCTTAGTGCACCATGATAGACAGCATCCAACATCTGCAGGGTGTTTATAGGAGCGTTCATGTAAATAATGTCACCGTAATCAATGGAGGGAAGGAAAGTCACAGATACAAGGTGTTTCCTAGCATTCAGAGTTAGACAGGATCTAACCATCTATTGCTGAAAAAGAAACCCAGTTTAACTTTGTTTCTTTACTAGGTTTTCCACATGGAGCTTAAGAGAGATGTGAGTCGACCAAGATACCCAAATATTTATAGGAATCAACAAACTCAATGGGGACACCATTTGAGGCTAAAATCAGAGGAAGAACTGCTGGCACCAACTTCCTGTTTGGAAAAAAGCATCCCTTTGGTTTTGTCATGACTCATGAATCTGAAAACATTTTGAGCAGCATAATAAATTTATTAGGGATAGGATTACATTGCCACTACAGTCAAAATGGATATCGGAGACAACGTAAAGGATAAGTGGTGGTATTTACCATCCTTCATACATTCTACAACTGAAGTCTACAAAAGCTGCATTCATCGTCCTCCTGTAGTTTTTAAATATAAAACTAACTTTATGCCTTATTGAAAATTAAAGCATAAGAACAGATGAACACATTATGTTCATTTTCTTCTCTTAGAACTGAATAAAACCAGAATGATAAGTTTAATGTTCAGCATTTAATCCTGACTAAATCAAGAGTATGATTGTGAAAGTCCCAGAATTAAAACCATAATGCAAAATGACTAAGCACAGTGATTTTTATCAGCGTATAAAGAACTATAAAGCAGTTCTCCATTCTACATACTTCTGTCATAAAAAGTACTTTCACATTTCAATCCATTTCATTCCATGAAGTAAGCAGCTTTTAGTTTTTGCATAACAAAATATGCGTAAATTGAAAATACAGCAACAAAACCGTAACAGATTCAGTCATGGTAAACAGTTGTCAAGCAGCTCTGATGTTGTCGTTTTTGACATAAAACTGCATTACATCCCTATTATGATGCCTACACTGAAGCAGACTAAAATATTCCATCTTGTCTTCTAAAAACTTGGTGAACATTGTAAACATTGGCATCGTTCTGCTGCAAAAAGAAAATTCTAACAATAATCTAATGTAAAATGGAGAATCACATTTAAAGGAATATTCTGCATGTTTTGAAGTAGTATTCTGTGGTAAAGTTATAAACAAACATCTTTCCTGTAGTTCTTCATATCTTTTTGAATGATAGCAGTTTAGTGAAATAAGACTGATGAGCTAACAGATAGTCCAAGAACAGCTAGGACCAATTTCAATGGTTCATGCATTAATTCACAGACCTTTATTACAGTTACATGGAATTTTATACTAACTATAAAAATATAGTCCCGAGGTGTGAGTGAGTGAGAATGGTTGTTTGTTTCCATGTGTCCCTGTGATGGACTTGTGACCTGTCCAGGGTGTCCCCAGCCTCTCGCACAGTGATGGCTGGACATGAACACCAGGGACCACCTATGACCCAAAAAAGAAGAAGCAGGTAAAAGATGATGGATGGAGCCGTTAGCTCATCAGTCCCGTCAGAATTAAATGATTCTGCCGCCAAACTGAGGTTATTTCACACTACCGTTCAGACTTTTTCTACAAAATCTTAACTTTAAAACAGCTACAATGTCCGCTTAAGGGCATTGCAGGTCTTAAAATGATCAACAAAAGCAGGACAGACTACCCATTACAATAAAATTGGCAAATAAAAAGTACAATTAAAATGAAAAATCTAAAAAGTGAGGGCAGTGGAAAAGAAAACTTTAGTGTTAGTATCCAAAAAAGTTCAATCTGGTCCTCTGGACATTCAAAAAAACAAAGCAAAAAAAAAAAAGTTAAAACATTTCGTCTAATCCGAGAGACTTCCTCAGTCTGATTGTGTAAACTGAGGAAGTCTTTCGGATGAGAGACGAAACGTTTCTAAATTTTTTTTTGTTGCTTTGTTTCGTTTTGAATGTCCAGAGGACCAGATTGACCTTTTCTGGATTTTTCTACCTGGATTATTGAGCATGCATCAGGACTTAGTGTTAGTATTTAAACACAAAAACAAACTTTTTATCAAAGAAATCAAGGAATTTAACAGAATTGCATAGTATCCTGTTAACTTTTGGCATTTTGTTTCATTCAATTCTTTCGTAGATACATTAATCGTTTATAATGCTACTTTATCAAAGAGGACCAACATTCAGGCTTAAACTTCATCTAAACTTTACCTCCAACCTGCTAAATCATACAGTAACTACCTAGAGGAAACTACAGGAGACCATCACGACAAACCTTCAGCCTCACCAAACCTCCAACATTCAGACTTGTTTCTTTAATCTGCGGTCTTCTTGCTGAGAATAAACGGTATTAGAATCTTACTAAGAACCATCGCAAACATCCGGCCGCCTGTCGTCCAGACTCAACATACCCTGTTGTCGTTGTGGCTTCTTGAATTCCACAGAAGACGTGCACACAACCTTTCCACAGAGTTGTCCAGCCTGCTGGACACCGTGTCACTTGTTTTATAAGTGGCGTTATAGAAAAGCAGAACCTGGAATTGTAAATGTGAGGATATTTTGGATTTTTTAGGACTCCTTGTTGATCCACTTTGTGTCTTCATTATGCACTCTCCTGACACGACTCCGAGATGGTCCCGCTGCTTAATCAAATCAGATCCTGGGCAAGACTTCGAATAACATTAAAAGCTCCGAGGTCAAAGCCAGAGATGTTGAGTAAACCTCTGTCCTCAGTGTCTGCAATGGCATGTCCAATAGAAGTTAGGCCACACATCACCAGCTTCGAATCAGCACCCGATGCCTGTTGAAGAAAAAACTGAACTTTTAGTTTGCTAGTTGCTTGCACATGTTTGTCACACTATTGTTCTTGTAGTGAGGATAAACATTCATTTTCCTAAAAAAAAAAAGAAGGAAATATTCTATTGAGTCTGATTAATGTCTCAAAAAATGCAAATTATTTAGTCCTAGAAAAAAAGAAAACATTAGCAATACTTACGCGCAACATTACTGCGTTACAAAATTGGGTAAATTTAAATTAAAAACAGGCGAGAAACATAGCGAAAGAATGTAGCGAAAGAATGTAGCGTAAGAAAGCGGCTCTCTGAAATTTGGTTCTCCATCTGTGATCGGGTTCTGCAGAGTGACAGCTGACTTTCTCTTCCTGATAAAACTTGCTGCAATGATGTCAAGAGGAAAAGGAGGTTTGGACGGATTACGTGATATGCGAGCATAACCTGGAAGGTCTGACGAACACTCTTCAGAATGTGGAGCTTGGTTCTGAGAGTTGAACTCAGAATCCGGAGTCTGAGTTTGTGGTTAAAAATACAGGCGTGGGTCATTCACATAGAGGCAGAAAAGCTAAACTAATCTGAGAGTTTTAGCTGGAATCAGTGGTCTGAAGGCAGAATCTGTGTCATGAAGTGGGTCAGGGACAGAGCAAGAACATGGCTATGGTAATCATGTCTTGTAGCCGTTTTGTTATTATTTTGCCAATTTTTTTTGTCCCATTTGATGCATTATATCTTGTCTTATTAGTTTTTGAGCCATACACCAAACTATTGATAATGTGATATGACATAGCTTGGATTTTAAAGTACTGATTAATTGACTACGGGCATAATCTATACTAATCAGTATGCAGATAAATTAAACTGTTTAAATACAAGCTGGGTTATGTAAAATATTTAATATTCATAATACAAACATGTAATTACTATTACCGTATTTTTCAGCCTATAAGTTGCAGTTTTTACATAATTTACATGCCCTGCGACTTATAGGTCGAAGCAACATATTTATGGATTTTTTTTCTCCATATTTATAAAACCAATTTTTGGCTGATATAATTAATAGTTTTCATTCATTTTGACAAAAAAATAAATAAAAATTGAGCAGTACCACTTTCAGCCACTTGATGGGAGCAAAGTAGTAATAGCAGTATGGCATGCTGTAGTATCATACAATAGGTAAACGTGGCTATAATGACAAATTCAAATAAGTTCAAGACAAACAACTGGACTTTATTTATTATACTTTATTGTTTTCGTTTTGGAATTTTTTGAATTTACCATGTCCTGGATGACTGAGAAGCTTCACCAGCTTTTAATGACTCAATCGGCCTGCCATAGTACCCCCACTTTCATTCTGGTCGTTGCTTGGAACCATCAAAACAGCTGCACTGCCCCGGCGAAATGCAGCTAATTTGACCATTGAAGTGCATTTATTAAGCAAATGTTAGACTGAGACAAACCCTTGCTATAATTTTGAGCAAACAAATACTTTTTTTTAAGTGGTTATATTGTTAAATTTGAAAGAAATGTAGCGGCTGGTCCAGCTGCGTGTGTCCTCTTCGCAGCACCGAGGCAGCAAAGCAGTTTTTGAAATTCAGCTGATCTGACCATTAAAGTGCATTTATTACGGAATAGTTCAACTGAGACACACATTCACTATAATTTCCAGCAAACAAATAATTGTTTTTAGGCATTAATCTTGTTAATTTCTTGTTAAAGTCCTCCCGTGCACGCTCCCGCCATTTGGCAGCCCATCGGTTTTTGCCACAACACCGGTCCACATTTCCGGGTTTGGTCCACATTTCCGGGTTGTCAGCGGTGACGCGTAATAGATGCGACGTATACGGCGAAGCAACATATTTATGGATTTTTCCACTTTATTAGACAAATATGGACTGATGCGACTTATAGGGCGGAGCGAAGTGTACGGCGGAAAATACAGTATACGTCTGGCATTTAATCATAAAATAGTGCTGGGGAATAAAATTGTATTGGGGAAAAAAAACCTCAGTCACTAGAAGGTATGCCTTCAGATATAATCCATCGAGGTAAAACTTTGAATTCACTGCATGTCTCATTTGTGATTGTGTAACTGTTATGATCCTTTATTACACCTGAGCACCGTCTCCACAGCCACAGGCGCAACCCCCCCCCCACCCCACCCACCCCCCATTTAGCAAAAACTGAGAAAATCAGTTTCTCAAGCAGTTCCATATATTGTAGTTTTTGATTAAATTAGAAACATTCTAATAAAATTCAATGCAAACTTTGACAGCAAGAAAGAAGAAAATAGTCAAAACAATACAACCTGAAATTGAAAGATTTATTTTTATTTGGCCACAATTGAAACTCCAAGTTATCCAAATGAAATTTACTCATTGACTTGTGTTACTTTACATTAAACACAGTTTAATCTCAAAACCCTAAAGCAGATAACAAAATTCAAATTTCATTTCTTCAACAAATAAAAACTTACACATCTGTGTTTCTTTAGAGTCTCCACCGGGCCTGCACTGAAGCTCCACAGCGGGTTATTCGTCAGAATGATAAAGACGTCAACAGATTTCCCATTTTCTGTGGCCCATGTGACGGGAAGGGTGCAGTCAGTACTGCTGTTCGGGAGCTGGAACACAAAGGCCAGAGTTCAACAAAAACTGGCTTGAAGGAGAAGTAGCTGGTTTTCCATTAGAAACTGTGGTGAACAAGGAGCTAGAGGCAACAAAATGTCTGTTGAAACAATTCAGAATCTCATGCTCATTTGACACGAGAACAGAGTTGACCAGTAATTGTGGTGGTGGGTCAGACGAACTGAAGCTGACAGAAAGTGATTCGACAGTTTTCCCAGATCTTCTAAGGTCATTTAGATGTTTGGAGGTCTGGGATAAAAAGTAATTACACTTTGCAGCTTTAATGGAAGGGTGTGTGTGTGTGTGTGTGTGTGTGTGTGTGTGTGTGTGTGTGTGGGGGGGGGGGTGTACAGCCCACAACAGATAGGATTTCAAACTGATTTGGAAGTGTTTTGGTGGACACCAGGTGAGAATCCAGGCTTGATCTGATATTAATTGCAGTGTTTCCCCTAGAGAGCTTGCCATGGTGGGGCACTCATCTGTGATTTTTTATCAGCTGAGCCGCGCACCGTTTGTGCCAGCAGTTTTCCAGCGCTGGTGTGTGTGTGTGTGTGTTCAGCGTTAGGGTTCAGTGTGAGGGAAGAGGCAGTGTGAGTGCCGCCTTTAGTTTTTGAACCAGCGCGCCTGCATTGCATGCCGCTGTACCTCAGCCCTGCAGCAAACTCAAGTGTCCATGGGAAAAACACAGAGTGCAAATATTTACAAAACTACTGTAGTTGGACTTTTTTTTTCCCCAAAAAAATTTCTTTGCCATTTTATACTACAGTACTCATCAGCATCTGTCATTATTTTTTTAGGCAGCTTGTCTTACCTTAAGCACTTCTGCAGTAACTTCTGCAAGAGTCATACTGGCAGAAAGCGAGCAGGGAACCACTCGTCCCTCCGAGAAGGCCAGCACATCAGTGTTTCCCTCAGTCTGAGCAAAAATCTGTGACGAACACATTAAAAAAAAGTTTAAATCAAATCTTATGCTCTCCTGCATGAAAACAACTTTTAACACATTGCAAAACTTTTAAGAAGACATCATACAACTGCTGTGAAGTCACCGCTTCCTGTCATTAACTAACGAGCCTGTGGACCGTAATAATGCAGAGGGAATCCCCAGAACGCATCAACACACCAGCTCCTTCACCCAGGCTTCCTCCAGAGACTGGGTGGCCCAACCGAGTCCCACCTAAACACACAGCTGCTCTAACTGTACAGTAATTAGCGGGACCCTCAGAGAGTGGAGCTCAGTCTGCTCCAGGCTTACCATGGTTATGGCTGCAGCAGCTACAGCAGTGCTGAGTGCTGTTCCCGGGACAATGCTGCTCAGCGACGTGCTCACATCGACTGCCACGACAAAGTGTTTCCCTACAGGCTCCACATTCTGCAAACATTAGAGCACTTGTGTTTCTTCAGCTGCTGATTGTTGCCTCAAGTTAGTCAGTAAAAACTAGGAAAGTTTTAAAAATCACACCCACCACAAAGCTTTTATAAAAGGCTGAGTCCAAGGCTTTGAGGATGCTACTGTCTGCTTCCCACTTTGTTTTACCCTGAAAACCTTGACCTCTCTTGTAGTTTTCTGAAGCCAGGAGAATGTTGAACGGGTGGATCTTGGCCTGGTGATTTCAAGGCAATCAATGTTTAAATAACTTCAATAAAAAAGGCAAAACAATTATCACAATATATTTTGCAATGTACCTTCTTTAGAGCCGACTCGCTCTGAAGTCTGTCACATATGATCTGTGTTTCTGAGCTTCCTGGTTCAAGAAGTTTGTTTGACGTTAGTTTTCCCAGGATTTTTAGAACCGAATGAAGAGGCATATCCTTCAACAATGCTCGCCATACCTTAAAAAAAGATTAAATAAAAAACATCTTCATTTATGTGTTAATCCACAACAAATACAGGCTCTGCATAGGCAGCAAGCAGTTCATTTGTCACGACAGGTAGCCACAGAGGACTTTTAATAAAAATATTATAAAAAAAGCCAACGAGAACTCCTGAATCATCATCTTGATGCAACATAAACACAGAGACTATGGAAGAAATCTACAATTCACAGCTCGTCTATGTAACAATCAGGAAGAGAACAGATAATGGCAACAAAACACAAATGAAATGCAAAGAATTGCAGCAGCTATCCACAGTGTTCAGTTAAAAACAATGTAAAAGTGTAAACTAACCAGGAAGATTATAAACTAGCAAAAGGATTTTAGGTCGACTGTTCAGTCCTTTCTAGATATCAAAAAGTATTTATTGATTTTTAGCAACCACCTTTGCAAAATACATGAGCTGAATTTATTTAATGAATGCGTATTACTTGCATGTCAAACCTCTTGAGTGATCTGTCAGTGCTCAGAGAACATGCTGGTGGCTCAGCTACTACCACACCATATATTGGAGAACATATATTGAGGTCGGCAGTTCAGGTGATTCTTTCAGCTCCAGGAACCCGTCGTAAGCTCAGAGGTGACAGGGCCTTCTGTTGCAGGTCCAAGACTGTGGAATGAGTTACCACTACATGTCAGGCAGGCTCCCTCTCGCACTGTTTAAGTCTCGCTTAACCCACTTTAATTCCCTAGCTTTTGACAGTGTGATTTGTTTTGAACTCGTCTGTATTCTACAATGTTGGCCATTTAGTTATCTTCTGCTGTTTGTATCTATATTTTATTTTACTCTTTTTTCTTTTTTTTTTTTGCTGTGTGCTTTGCTTGTTTGTTCTGCTGTACAGCTCTTTGGTTGGCCTTGTTGCTGTTTGAAGTGCTCTATAAGTAAAGTGGTATGGTATATTAGGTGTAATCTCCCGGTGATGTGACTTGTTGGTGAACAGCATTCGTGAGGGACTCTCCTGAATGTGTGCGACTTGAGCAGTGATTCTAGACTTCCTTGCGCGAGTTGAAAAGGTCTCGTATGCCTCGTTGCTTGAATTTTAAACATTTTTGGAAATCTGTGCATCAAATTTTCTTTCAACAGATTTAGGGCTGCAACAACGAATTGATAAAAATCGGTGATTAAAAATGTTGGCAACGAATTTCAATATCGATTTGTTGTGTTGCGCGATTAAGCGTCTTTCACGGCGCTGCAGAGCCGTTTTGTTCACCTGCAATGCATTGTCAATGCTGACCGACTGAATAAAGTAAAAAAACAAAAACAAACAAAACCTCTGCAGCGCGAGTTGAACAGAGCGAGGAGGGAGGCGGAAGCAGAGAAGAGGCTGTTTTCAAAGGAAATTAAATACATTTTACAAAAGACCGACGAAGAGAAAACTGTTCAACCCAAGTCCTCCAAAGTGTGGGAGAACTTCACAAAGATAAAAACTGAGAAACATGCAGCTTTGAAAAAGTGACGACACGAGACGGGAGAACCACGGAGATAAAATGTCAACATGTCGAAGTCACGAGGAGGATGAAGGAGCTGAACAGCTGATACAACTCATGTGTTGCAGGTGAGTCTCTACAATATTCTACATTTGTTCCGTTTCCAAGTGAGAAAATGTAACGTCAGTCTCTCTGTAGCTGAAGCTGCTGCTTGTTTATCTGATTAATGATGGTGATAGAGAATGTGTGTTACTTTTTATTTAATTTAATTGGTACAAGCAGTGTTTAAATGTGACATAAATAAATCTAACACAACGATAATAATTTAATGATTAAGCTTCAACTTTTAATTTGCTGGCAAAGACTGAAGACACTGCAGGTATGGCAGGATGAATTGCATTTAAACAGGAATTAAAGTAATTTATTACATCTACTTAAATGTGCGTAATTAAGTATTTTATGTGTGTGTTTAATTGCTCTTTTAGCTACTTTTGCCTGAACCTAACGCTGTAAGTGAAACAAGGCATTTCTTGAGTTGCTGTAAATTATGCTAGAATACATATTTACTCTCATTCCAGAAAACAACAACAAACAACAACATCCTTCATGATGGACAGACATCATGGACACCACAGCAGCAGCTGTCTTCACTGAAACATCCTGAACATGATCGTCACTGACATGAGGCCTCTGTCGATGGTTGGAGATGAAGACTTCACAACAATAATCCACACTTTTAATCCAGGTTACAATAATCCACACTTTTAATCCAGGTTACACTCGTTCCTCAAGGACACATTTTACAAAGTAGCTACATATTGTGCAGGTATAAAGATACATTTGTATATATATTTGTGTACATTTTTTTTAAGCTATTTGACTAACTTATTTTTTATTATTCAATATTTTACTAACAGAATAGTCAAATAGCAAACTATTTTTTGTGCGAATTGCTATGTCAGTCAAATGTTCAATTTTGGAATAAAGGGGTGGAATTTTTTTTTTTTGCAGATTCATCGATTAATCAAAAATAATAATGGGCCGATGAATCGATTATTGAAATAATCTGTTAGTTGCAGCCCTAAACAGATTTATTGTAGGCGTCTCCAACTCATCTTAAGATGACTGGAGCTGCACTGACTCCTGCACGAGAAATGTGACTCAAAACCTGCTAAACTTCGTTTTTATACTCCAACAGATTACTTATATATATATAAAAAAATTACATCACACAGTTTTTACTTGTGCTCTGGAAGCAAGCCCAAATTGTGTTGAACTCGGGTGCAATGACAATAAAGGTCTATTCTATTCTAATAATAAACGTGGTGGTGACGGCAAAAGTGGTTACAAAGCGAGCAGAGACAGGTATGAAGTAGATCGAGATAGACAACAACAACAGTGCATGGCCAAGAATGTAGTTTTACAAACCATGCACACATAAATAGACATTTTCAAAAACAGTTGGTGCAAGACGTGGCCTCACAGCTCACTGGTTGCAAACACTCAGTTCAGTCAGACTGCAACAGAAAACTTACATTATCTCACTATTTTTAGTGGCCAACTAATCAACAGTCACAGTCCAGTGAGAGAACACCTTTTAGCTCAATACCTGTAAAAATGGCTTAATTATAGCTTTACTGTGTTTTTAAAACTGATATAGCTGTGATAATGATCTCAAAGTTGAGGTGACCCTAAAAGTTAACCCGTTATACATTTATGTCAAATGGTTACATTGAGGTTTTTTTTTTTTAATAAAGTTTATGATGTTTTGCTAACAGACAACCTCACACACTTAAATGCTAAACATAACACACACTTAAATATTTAAGATTTACTTATTGGTGTAAAACAAAATGAAAAATTAGAATAGAAAAAGATTTAAGAAAAAAAAAAAAAACACCACTGCTTACCAGTTTGGACTTCAGATGATTTGTAAGCAGCTGCTCCCGCTCTAGTTTGTGTTCTTCTATTAAATTGCTAACCTCCGTTTCGTCACAGCTGTGTTTGACCTTTTCCACCACTTCAAGATACGAAAGCACTTTGACAACTTCGTCAGAGTTTTCCTTGTCTGAATAAGCAATCTGGACCTCCTTCCACCCTTTTGTTACATATTTGCTGATCAAGGCAACAGCTGTAAACAAAGAGACAGATGTTACTATCGAGGCACAAAGCATACTTATGAAAAATCAAGCTAGAGCTGAATAATATACCAAGTTTTATTAAACACAGGGCGGCACAAATACACAATGTGACACAGGGCACATATAAATGTGAAAATGTGTAACACATTTATTTAACTTATTAATCATTTATAAGATTGTAGAAGTGTCTTGTCAACAATATTAATAGTTAATTAACTGGTCAAATAATGAAGTTTCTCTCTTTAATGGATCAAAAGTAAAGCATTAAATATGTAGAGGTTAATATTTGCTGTTTAGAGGTGTCGCAGATCATAACTAAGTGGTATGAAAGATAAAGCGCGCCTGTCTTTACACTGAAGCCTCTCAAAAATATTTTTCCGCAAGTTTGAAATTAGTAATGGAATGTACAGTATGTGGGTGGTTTTCATTTCTAGATGAGCAGCGTTGAGCGACGTGGGGCTCTTCTAACTCACCATCTGTGGCTGGTTTGGTGTGAGCGAGTCGAAGCAGGTCCTTGTGTGACCAGCCCTCCCTCTGTTTACATCTGGTCACAGCTGCAGCTAGACTCATGGCATCTTGCTCATTGTACCAGTCAGACACCGCCTTTCGTAGGGCACGACCCCATATTCCACATTTCATACCCTCTCTTAGCTCTTTTTTGAACTGAATGAATAAAAACAGTTGTGCCGGCTCCCGACACACTTCCTTTAGGGCTTTGAATGCTTCTTGTCTGGTCTTCAGTTCCGAGTGCTGGGAGCACAAAGCCAAAGCGAAAAAAGCGGGGTTCAGTCTTACAGCTCTTCCATCTAGAACAAACCTCTTTATCTCCTCCACCACCTCAGCCCCTCGGCCCTCCTGAAGCAAAGAGAGTAGGGCTGCAGTGTTCTCCATACTGACAGGGCTGTTCTCTCTGGCAGTGTACATGTCTCCCTGTGAACCATAGCAGAGGAAGCGGCACAGTTGAGCCTTGTCACCGACATCCCATGGTCCTGCAGAGTTGCGGGTGTGGTTGCTTGTAGTGCTTCCTGGCAGTTCCATTGTTTCAGTGATGAAGGCCTAAGGTGAAGAAAGAAGCTTAAGTAAATCTGAATTTACATTTCCATCAATTTACGGAGAAGAAAGTCTAATGCTCTGACAGAAACTGAGATTGTGCAATTAATAACTTTCCATTTTCCATTTATACAGATTAAAAAGAAAAACACCCTAAAACCTGACTTTCCGGGGGCCGACCTGTAGACAGGTATCAGTGCTCGGTCCCAGCAGGTTTCTGCTCAGCACCGACATGCTATGGTTAGGATGAAACCCAGAGGTCTGACTGCTAACAATCTCTCACCGCCTCTGATCACTGACAGAAATAGATTAAATCCGATTACAACACATGATAACACACCTATGAAGCAAGGAGAGATATTGAGTTATTTAAAGCAATTTAAAACACCGAAACGGAAGTTAGCGTTGAGCTAAACCTGCTAGCCAACAACTGAGTCTGTGCTAAGCTAATAGCTCAGGCTTGACAAGAACTGCGAAGTTAATAAACTGACTGAAGAAACAAGAAAATTATTGTCTGAAACTCGGTTATATAACAAAACACCCTAAAACTTCTTAATTGATATTGAACTTCCTCGTGGTATAAGCCCTCTGCACTGCGGACTTAAACTACAAATTAAACCTGAGCGGACTCCAGGGAAGCTGAGTAAAGAAACGATGAGGAGGATGATGCAGCTGTCCGCTCATATTTACCCGGAGAAAACTGTTTTATTATTAATTATAATCTTTGCACACATACAAAAATCTCAAAACAATTAAAGTGTATAAAACATGCACTCACCGCGATATGAAATTGCGCAGTATTAAAGTTTTGGTGTAGCTTTAGGGTGCAAGGCCTCCGCGTCTGACCGCCTGTAGCCAGGGATGGCGCCACAATGCATTCTGGGAAAACGGGTTTACTCAAAAGCACAACCACATTCCTTTTGAGTCAGCCGGGGGATGACCCGGGTTGAACTGATGACGAGCGGGGAAAGGGAAGTTTGCCAGCGGTATGAGGCGTCACCTAAATTCGAATCGACTCGCAAAAAAGAAGGTATTATTTAAACAAACAAAAAAATAAAATCGAAACGACCCCCGATCCATTATGTCATTACTTGTTGACAACTTAAATGAGTAACAGAGACATAAAGATATCAGAAATCTCCAACGGGTAACAGAAAATTAGTAATTTATCAGAAGATTCGCCAATTTAATTCACAACATTTGGACCTTGGAATCGAAACAACTTTGTTTTGTTTACATCAGTCACGTGATCAGTGTCAGCCATCTCGCCAGCTGGGTTCAAGATCTCTCCATAGATGTTTCTTTTTTTTTTTTCTTTTTTTTCCATTTAACGTTTTTTATATATGTATTTCTCAATTTTCATCATTTTGTAACCCCCCCCCCCCACACACACACACCAAGTTTGTAAACTGTAGTTATGACACCCTTCACGAGTGTTTGTATATGTCTTTCTCTTTTGTAGTGTTCTGTAGTTCTGTGTGTTTATTAATAAAAAATAAAAAAATGTCTATGGGTCTTTCTATGGCGCTGGGTTCAAGTACGCTGGTCTGAGCGACTTGGAACCGACAGCAAACTCCGCCTATCCGGCTAGCCGCTTTGTCAACCGGGCTAAAAATGGTGCGCAGCCACACATTCCACCACCCAAATCAAAACACACGTTTGATGACACTTTTGACTTATTATTTGAAATTACTTACTTATAATTACTTATATTATGACTTATATATTCAACCTTTTGACATGGTATCTATTTGTTCTCATTATGACAAGTTTATATTTCAAATTATCACTCAGTACTACAAAGTACAGTTTACTTAACATTACCCACACTCAGTTTAGGTAAAAGTCTGACCTTTTACTAGTTTTTTATTTTATTTTTAATAAATACATCAAATGTTTTAAATATCTCAAAATTATGATTTAGAAACAAAAATGATCACTCATCTCAAAATTTGCAACCTAATTCTATCAAAATAGTAGTTGCAAATATACAATAAGTTAGATTTAAAAACCCAGTTTGTATTATTTGTGCTTTTAGTTTTTCGCTCACGTCACAAGGAAGCATTATCTGACAGCAAGAAATTTCAAAGATAACTTTTTTTAATGCAACTTGATTTAGGCACAATGCAAATCAGTACAGGATGAAAACAAAGGGACAAAGCTGTAGTACAAGAAAATTAGCTGAATATAAATACAAACTTGAGGCTACCTGGGTGTTAAAGGGGAAATTTTAGATAATTTGAAATCGGGTTCTTTTACGACCAAATAATATTTTACCTGTTGTATCTCTTTGAGGAGCCTCAATTTGTAGACACTGACTTAATTTCTGATGAGCTATAACAGTTAGCCCAGAAGCGAAAACCAAAGTAAATTGCTTCCTTCCTTAAACAACTTTATTAAGTTTATTGAAATTGTATTAGTAGGTATATTATAGTTTTCCCTCAGGAAATGACCTCAGGCTTAAGCAAAAGTGTTGGCTGCTGCTACTTCTTGCTATGTAAATAAGAGTAAAATGGCAAATTAACTGGAGTGTAAAGATTTATGAAATAGCATTCCCATGAGCTGCAATGAAATGTTGAAAACACGAGCTTTTTAAATGAGGCATCATTCCACTTGATGTACAGCCAAGGATTGCTTTCTGAAAGCTTAATTAAAATCCACGACATGCTTCATGAGATAATTTGCTTACAGACTAACAAGTGCACAGACATGGGCAAAAGCATAACAAATGCTTTACTATCATAATCTAATTCAGTTTATTTCATATGCAAGTCATTGCCCAGCCCTTGATAAAAACAAACATCCATGCTGCTTAAATCTTGGGTAATCAATACAATCATAATGGTACTTCCTCCAGTTATTTAACCGTCAACAATGGTGTACCACAAGGCTCAGTCTTAGGACACACCCTCTTTACAATCTACATACATAATGTAGGTAAAAACATCTCTGATGCATCCATACATTTCTACTGATGACACAGTTGTTTATTGTCGAGCTAAAACTGTTGCTAAGGTTTTCCAGCTTTTGAAATCTGCATTCAACATCATCCAGACAGATTTGTTTCGCCTCAAACTTGTCCTAAATGCCGACAAAACCAAAGGGATGCTTTTTTCAAACAGGAAGTTGGTGCCAGCAGTTCTTCCTCTGATTTTATCCTCAAATGGTGTCCCCATTGAGTTTGTTGATTCCTAAAAATATTTGGGTATCTTGGTCGACTCACATCTCTCTTTTAAGCTTCATGTGGAAAACTTGGTAAAGAAACTGAAAGTTAAACTGGGTTTCTTTTTCAGAAACAGATCCTGTCTAACCCTGAATGCTAGAAAACGCCTTGTTTCTGTGACTTTCCTTCCCTCAATTGATTACTTTATTTATCCAGGTTAGTCTCATTGAGCCACGAGAACTCATTTTCAAGAGAGACCTATTTTAGGGAGCACATTGTGGGGGTTAAGGGCCTTGCTCATGGGCCCAGAGTGGGGCGAATAAGGGTGGGGGCAAGTGTGGGTGTTTCACCTACCCCACCCACAATTTTTGATGTTGTCGGGGCTGGGGCGCGAACCGGCGATCTTCGGATCACAAGCCCACCTCTCTAACCTCTGCGCCACCACTCCCCACGGTGACATTATTTACATGAACGCTCCTACAAGAACCCTGCAGATGTTGGATGCTGCCTATCATGGTGCACTAAGATTCATAACTGGCTGTGATTATCGTACCCACCACTGCACTCTGTATTCACTGGTTAACTGGACATCATTAACTTCACGCAGACTCTCTCACTGGTATATTTTCATCTTTAAATCACTTCTTGGTCTGCTGCCTTCATACATCTCCTCCTACATGTCTCTGCGTGAGTGCAGCTACAGCGTGCGCTCTCAGGACATTATTACCTGCAGTGTTCCCTCAATGAGGACTGAACTAGTCAAAAGGGTCTTCTCGTACTCCACTCCTGTTTCCTGGAATTTCTTACAAAAAGATTTGAAGCTCTCGACCTTGACCTCTAAGTGGCTTTAAGAATCTGTTGGACTCCTGGCAGGGTCCAATGCAGACATGTTCCTGTTTTTAGTTTTCTACATTCACCTTAGAATCTAGCTGTTTTTTTTGTTACCTTTTTCTTTTAGCCATCCTATTTGTAAAAAAACAAACAAACAAAAAAAAACTGTAGTATGACTTTTTATAACTGTTTATTGTTGTCATCTTTCTTTGTTGAAATCAGGTCTCTCTTGTAAATGAGTCCTCGAGGCTCAATGGGATTTACCTGTCTAAATAAATGTTGAATGAATCTTCTCTGCAAACAAAACCAGTTAGTTTGCCTGTAACTCTTACAGTCACCACCAGATGGCGGTATTACACCAGCTGCAGGTCCGGATGCAATTTCTCTTCCACCACTGGGATGTAGCAAGCGTCTTAAAAATCACATGATTTACTACAATTGAATCAGTAATACTCTGGTGTTAGAAGGCCTCCAGATTCACGACATGATCATTTAAAGTTTTCATTATTACTGTTCAAACTCAGAAAACCTTGAGCCTGTGAAACCAGTTGTCTTTGATAAATAGTTGATAAATAATACTGTTTACATTCGGGACTGAGTGTCTCTGCCATTTCACATCAGGAACAACAGCTTTAATTTGGGTGATGTCTGGTCTTGAGTTTGCATAATGTCGTGCATTTCCTCCAGTGACTCATGTCCACTCTGCTTGCACGGTGCTCAGTCTCGTCTAATAGCATGCTTTTGGGGTATTTAGAAGGAAGGAGAAGTGTCTGCACAGCACTTTCCTTTCCTTAGGCTGTCTGGGAAACGTTTTACACGATCCACAGCAAACACCACGTCAGTCCTTCTGCAAGAGCAGGAGGCTGCTCTGCAGCATGTTCCCCCCAAAATCCTCCTTGGGTAACTTTATCCTCACAGCCATCCGGTGTTTCCTAAAGCCTCTCTGTTTAAAAGTAGCATCAATAAAAACTTTATACTGCTCCGTCTGAGTGAAGCGTGGAAAAGAGTCATTCTCCATCAGGCTGTATATTCTCCTCTGAGCCACAACAAAGCATGATGAACGTGGTTGTTGGAGGTTCTCTCGGATCTCATCTTTTGTGTAGAAATCCAGATTTACCTGCAAACATGTTAAAGATAAGTCATGTGCACCTAAATTAACCCAAGTACTTAAAAGAAATAATGAAATTTTAAAGAAAGCCAGTGCAGCTTCTGTTAAAATCGCAACATACATCAACGTCTTTCGCTAAAGTGTATTAATATTTTAGATCTTTGTAATAATCTAAGCTAACAAAATATCAACAATTTGAAATACAAAATGCATGACAAAAGTCAAGTGAACCAAGACAAAACAATAAAAAGCTGCTGATTGGTAACTCTAAATTGTCCCTAGGTGTGTGAGAGAGAGTGAATGGTTGTTTGTCTCATTTGTCTCTATGTGTCCCCGTGATGGACTGGAGACCTGCAGGGTGTCCCCCGCCTCTCACACAGTGACTGCTGGATTTGAGCACCAGTGAGCCCCATGACCCGAAAAGGAAGAAGTGGGTAAAAGATAATGGATGGAAGACTCTGTATTTTAATGATTGCCTCCAGCGATAATGTTTTAATATCTTTATTTTTAAATTCTACACTTACATATTGATATTTGTGCAATGCATGCTGCCTGTACTTTACGCCCACCTCATTAACTCTTTTCTTACCTGTTTGGGGGAGTCATCCTTTATAAACTCGTCATAAATTTTTACTGCCATCTGTGCTCGTTCCTCTGGATGGTCAAACGTTTGGAAATCCTGACAGGCGAGCCAGAAATCCAGGTTTTCCTCACAGAACTCTGATTTCAAAAAGTCCCGCAATGCCCTTTGTCCACCTTTCACACAGAAGAACAGAAATGACTAAACGAGCAGTAACGAACCACATTAGAGCTGCATTGCCTGAAAGCAGACAGAAGTTACTTTTCTTGGAAAGGACTGTCTGAAGAGATTCTTCCAAAAAGTTGGTTTCATCTGTGTCCAACCTAAGTACAAAAGAAAACAAAAGTTCATGATTTGTTCACATTTTTTATTTCATAGAAAAAAACCCCCATCAAGACATCATATATAAATATGCAACAGGAACAACCTAAAACCCCAGATGATTTTATTGCACAGCAATGGACCCTGATTTTATTTTACATTACAACAGAGTTTAAATCTCAGTCATTAGATTACAGAAGGCCTGATTGTGCAGTTCTGAAAATCCTGGACTATTGTAACAACATGCAACTTTCATAAACTCCCATTTTATTCATTAAAACACATAGTGAACATATCAAGTGTTTAAACAAAGCAAATATACATCGTGGGAGGTAGAATAAAGATATTTTGAATTTGATGGCTGCAATCATTTATCTTTGAAGCTGTTAGTGTTTAAACAAAGTAAATGTACATGTTGGGCGGTAAAATAAAGGTAAAAAAAATAGCGAACTCAATCATCCAGGTAGATAACAACAAAAAAGGTGAGATCATTTCATCTGGACTAGTTTCTTTAAGGGAGAAACGTTTAGTCTTCCATCCCTTAAAGAAACTAGTCCAGATGAAATGATGTCACCTTTTTTGTTAGAATAAATGCATTTTGAATTTGATGGCAGCAGTAATTTATCTTTGAAGCTGTTCAGGGTCCATGTTTCCCACGGTGAATCTTTTCCTCTCCTTTTAACAACAGTCTGTAAACGTCCAAGATGCAAACAGCTCGGAGGGGAATGTTTAGACCCAATCTTGTTTTATAGGATTATAGCTATTTGACAGTCCTGTTTCTTTATTGTAGGATTTTTGTGTTAAAGCATTAAATGTGGTGGCACTGTGGTGCAGTTAGTTGTGCTGCCACCTGTCGGTGAGAAAGTAGCAGAATCACATCCTGGCCTGGGACAGTCGTGGCTGGATTTACAGTAGCATGTTCTCTCCATGCATGTATAGGTTTTCCTGGATAGTCAGGTTACAGAAAAAAACAACTTGCATGTTAGGTTCCCTGGTAACTACATTGTCCCTTGGTATGAGTGAGAGTGTGAATGCTTGTTTGTTTCAGTAGGTGCTCTGCACCGCACCAGTTAAGAAACCATGCTGTGGTTAAGCATGCTGCCAGGGGTGTTATTTAGGTCAAGGTTTATGGAAGTTTGTCACTAACTAATGTTAAATTAATATGTGTGAGTTAGAGAGTTGTTTTCCTCTCAGAGAGGAGCCTGCAGGCGCACCTGATAACTCCAGGGACGCCTCTGAGTCTGTGCGCAGGGAAGCCGAGGCCGTCTTGACCTCACCTCTGTCTGATAAGCGTTTAGTATAAAAACATGGCTCTCACATTGTCCGGTGCAGATATCCATGACCTGGAACCAAGCATGTAACTTCACCTGTTGTGAACGCTGCCCTTGCAAGTAAAGACCGGTTCAAAATCTTCTCGTGTCGTCCCAGTTTTAGTATACAATATGTGCTACTGAAGCAACAAAGCAAAAACACCACATCACCTCATTGCCTCTTTGATGATGACCTTATGGCTCACTCAGCATCTCTCCCAGGTGGAGTCAGTTCAAAAGGACAAAAACAATATATTTATCCAACACATGCAGTATATATTTATCAGGTCTCTCTTGTAAATGAGTTCCCGAGGCTCAATGGGATTAACCTGTATAAATAAAGGTTGAATGATATGGTTTAGGATTGTCTTATTGAAATATATACGGTCTTCCTGAAAAGATGTCATCTGGGTGGGAGCGTGTTGTTTTAAAAGCTGTATATACTTTTGTGCATCAGTAGTGCCTTTCCAGCAGGGGCAGAGACAGAGGGGTGGCAGGGGTGGCTTCTGCCACCCCTCTGAAACATAATGGGTCACCCTAGGTGCCACACCAGTTGATTGACATGTCACAGTGTGTGGCGTTGAATTAATTATTGGTTTTCTTTTCTTTTTGTAAAGACACAAATAGGTTTTAATTTGTTGTACAATTTTTGTAATAAAAAAATCTCCATTGTATTTCTCCTATAGATCTCCTTCATGCCTCATTTTGGTGTAAATAGTTTTAAATTTGTGAGTCATATTGTGGGGCAGCACGGTGACACAGTCGGTACAGACGCCGCCTGTCAGCGAGCGGGTCGCCCCAGTTCAAGTCCTGGCTGGGGGACCCTTCTGAATGGAGTTTGCATGTTCTCTCCGTGCATTTGTGGGTTTTCTACGGATACTCCAGTTTCCTCCCACAGACCAAAAACATGCATGTTAGACTGATGGTAACTCTAAATTGTCCCTAGGTGAGAGTGAGAGAGTGAATGGTTGTTTGTCTCGTTGTCTCTATGTGTCCCTTTGATGTCCAGGTGTCCCCCGCCTCTCACACAGTGACTGCTGGACATGGGCACCAGTGACCCCCGTGACCCGAAAAAAGGAAGAAGCGAGTAAAAGATAATGGATGAATGGATGGAGTCATAGTTTATCTGAAGAGGAGGATCCATACCTTGATGGTGACTACAGTGACAACATTGTGTGTGTGTGTGTGTGAAGATATGCTCCTTAGTACCAAGTTCAAGAAAATGAATAATTTCCTTTATTTGTATGTGCCCATGTGAAGTCTTGACTGTATTTTTGCATAATAGTTTAGCTTCTTCACTGCATTCCAGATGTGTGATCTGCCTATCCAAGAGACGCTAATGCACCCCTATACTATCAGAGAGGTAGGATTTTAAACATGCAACAGGCTAGCTGGTCCTTCTCATCTATAGTGTTAAGAATGTGGTGTATTTTGTTTCCAAACTAAATTTTAATTTTTTGATTAAGCTGGTCACAGAACAGTTTCACACCTTGCCTCAGTTTATTTTAAATCAGCTTTGGACGAGAGAAGATGGAAGAAGTGTTTTTAATTGGTGTTTACTTATAACTGTTTTTGAATTATAGAGCATAACCAGCATTTATGGATGGCACAGTGAACTGTGTTTACAGAAAATGATTTGTGAAAGTGCCCTGTGATGGACTTGCGACCCGTCCAGGGTGAACCCCGCCCCTCGCACAGTGATTGCTGGACATGCGCACCGGCGACCCCCGTGACCCAAAATGGAATAAGCGGGTAAAGATAATGGATGGATGGATTTATGAAAGTGTTCCTGAGCCCATGGAGTGATGTCCAAAAAAGAATTAGACCTGTTTTTAATGCCACTGGGACCATGGAGATCATGCAATATTGACTTTCAGCCTTGTCCTTTGAGCTCAGAGATATCTCCAAATTCTTGAAGTCTTCAGATGATATTATGAGCTGTAGATGATAAGGTGTTGAGGTTCTACTCGAGAATGACAAGGATGGATAATATTAGGAATGAGATCTGGGAGATATCCCTGGAAGATGAAATTAGTGAAGTCAGACTGAGATGGTTTGGACATGTCCAGAGGAGGGACAGTGGGTATACTGGTAGAAGGATGTTAGAAATGCAGCTGCCAGGAAAAAGACAAAGAGGAGAACATGGATGCAAGTAGAGAGGACATGGAGGTAGTTGGAGTGAAGAGAGAGGACATATAGTACATAGAGGACATGGTGAGATGGAGGATGACTCACTTTGACAACTCCTGAAAAAGGAACAGCTTAAAGAAAAAGAAAGAAGAGATGATAAAGTATTCAAAGTTTTCCAAACTTTAAATAGAGGAACATGACTGTATTCTGAAGATTTTCCACGTTTAGATGCATTTTCACAGACTAGAGAAGCAACTTGCCCAGTCAATTTTATTTATAAAGCACATTGAAAAACAGCAGCTTTTTATTGTTAAGCACTTTGGTAACAAAGTGCTTAACAATAAAAATCAATGGCAGTAATTTAATATAAAAATAATACCAAAAACTTAATTAAAAGCATAGAAAGAAAAACATAAAAACGCAGAACAATAAAATACTACTGGTAAATTAAATCCCACTGTGTTCAATACTAGAGAGAAAACAAGTGTGTTTTTAAAATAGATATAAAAAAATAACCTGTTGCTTATTTTAGCTTCTGAAACATTAAACGCCACTAAAATGCTCTTTTCATACCCAGTCCTTTTACTGACCGGTTGCCACTAAACCTGAATAGCTATAAAATGTCCCTGAATCTTAGGAACACATGCCTTTACAGCCTTTTGTTGTATTTTGCTGTCATCAAGTTTGAAACTGACTTTTTTTCCCTGAAAAAATTTGCAACTTTAAGCTAAAGCTTATCATTTTTACTATGTTTCACGGAGATGAAATCATTGTATGTTTTTTTACATTTTAGCCAACATACTATCTTTATTATTCTTATTATTTATTGGGATAGCATTACAAATAAAAAGTACTTGACTTACATTTGCTTTGTGCCCTTAAAGTCCATATGCGATGACTTGGAGAACCGAATCATTGTTGAACTAATTAAAATTATATCCTTTGTGAAATATTATTCCGTGTATCTCTTCATATACATGATGCAGCACAATCCTCAGAAGAATTCCTCTAAAGGTTATCAGCTTTGCAGGCTCATACTGGATCCTGACTGGAGTCGGAGTCTAATTCCACATTTCAGAGTTACACCAACAAATCCTTTGCAGTGCCTTTACTATTTGTCTTGTAGGAGCCACATGAATGTTATGTGCGAGTTTGTGACACAACTCCCATTTTTTCCCTTCGTCACTTAACTAACCATTCAAGTCGGACTTATTCTTAACCACAGCAGGTCATGTGATCAAAAGTTTGTTTAAATTTTTCAACGAAATTCCATTAGTCATATTTTCCACTTGACTTTTTTTTTTTTTTACATCAGTTGAATTAAGCTCATATTTCTAAGATGTTAAAAATAAACAAGTACATTTTATGAAGAGTTTCATCAAGTGTGTGATTCTTTTGTGTCAAATTCAACTTGGTTTGAAAATATAAGCTTAAATATTGACTTAAATTTTGTTTCTATAGTGGAAGTTCAAGTGTACACCTTCAGAACTAAAAGCATCGTCTTTTTTAGTACATGCATTTTTTTTATTTAGAGCAATTACTGTGGGCGGAAACCCAATGAC